CAGGGAACAAAGTCCAGGAAGAGGGACGTGAGGCAGCTGATGATGGCACACTCATCATTCGTGGTGAAAAAGTTCCATCACGGAATGTTGGAGGCGTTGGATTTGTCGTACACCTATCTATTGTCCATCTTGTCGATTCGCATGAGATCATCTCACCTCGCCTGGCTATCCTTCGACTCCGTCCTCTGCATCAAAAAGCCTTCACTATCATCAACTGCTATTCTCCAACATCAGCAGCTGATGATCCGAAACTTAATGCTTTTCATGAAAATCTGGAGGAAGTCATCCGCAAAGAGAAGTCTTTCTACAGATTTACTCGTGGGTGACAATGTGAAAATCGGGATAACAGAAGAAGAGGAGCACAGGGTTGGGAAATTTGGACTGGGATTCCGGAATGAAAATGATAACCGTCTTGTTGGGCTCTTATCCGCCGCACAACGCAACTTCATTTTCATGAAGAAAGAACACCGGCAGTGGGAGTCACCCAACGGTACGACTATGCGGAGATCGACCACATTCTCACCAACCGAAGGTGGTGCTTACTGGATGTCTCGGTGGTACCATCCTTCAGTATTGGCTCAGATTACCGCCTCCTTCGAGCAAAAGATTCCGCCGAAAGCTGAAAAAGAAGATCCCATCACGTTGGAGGAAGGAGAGAAGTCGTATATGATGGCTTCAGATTGGAGGAGCTCCTGACCACTTGAGAGTGGCCCATCGAGGAGGACCCAACGAAAGACTACGACCTGCTTCTTGGAGGACTGAGAGTGTGGTGAAAACGCCTTAATGTCTTGCACAAGGAATTTGGAACTAATTTCGAAAGCCACCAAGGATCTGCTAGAGAGGAGAAGAGCACTGAGGCTGGATCTGATAACACATCTCGAGCGACTGGTAGCTAATACCAGTTGCAGAACAGCTTTGCAAGAAGATCTTCGAAAGTACAGGCAATCAAATTCTCTTGGAAGCAGCACAAGGAAGGAAAAGTCTAAAGATGTACCGCAGGGATCTTCTCGACTATCGTGTTCCGCTGACAACATTACTAAACGAAGACGGGACTTGCACATATTCCCGACAAAAGATCGTTTACGAAGGGATTCTACACCGATCCCTTTCGCCAACACCCCTGTCAAAATACATTATTCCCACTGGAGAATACCACCAAGGATTCTACCTGCTGAAGTACGCGCCGCAATCCAGACCATGAATCCAGCGACGGCTCTGGGACCGGACCATGTCTCGGTCACCTCTTACGAGCTGGAGGATATCGCCTACACGAGATACTTGCGGAACATCTAACGTCCTATCTTCAAAAGGAAAGGCCCCCAACCAGTGGAGAACCTCCCCAACAATCCTTCTTCAAAAGAAGGGTGATAGGGAGGATCTTCGGAACTACCGTCCTGTTGAGCGTGCTCTGCAAGCTCTTTACGAAGATTATTCCCGCTCGCATATCGAGGACACTGGATGAAGCCCAACCTGTAGAACAAGCAGGATTTCGCCAGGGATTCAGCTGCGTGGATCACATCCACACAGTTTCGAGGATTGTCGAGGTTTGCCGAGAGTATCCCCTACCTCTTATCCTAACCTTCGTTGACTATGAGAAAGCGTTTGAGCGTCGAGTCTAATGGCATACTGTCAGCGCTCTTCACATGTACAGCTTTTCCATCGCCCCCTTAGCATACAATTGCGAAGGGGATCCGAGAAAATGGAGTGTTCCTCTCCAAACTTCGTTCTTAAAATCAGCATTCGGGCCCTTGAAAACATCCACAGACCAGCTGACGGAGCAGAGTTTGATTCAACCATTCTCCTAGCGATCTATTACACGGCAGGGACGTGGCCTGACATCGTGGCTAGGCTGCCGCACTTCAATACCAACATCGTGGATAACGCTAGCGAGAGACCGAAACGGATGGAAACAGTGCTGTGGCTGCAGGACAAGTGAAGATAGGCCATTTAAGTATCTAAGTAAGTAGATGTATTAGTCTGTTTAAGACTTTTGCCCATTATACAAAGGCACTTTTTGTTCTTTTCGCCAAAGTAATAGATAAAATGCTTTGCATTTAAACCTTCAGAGGAAGAAAAGGCAAAATTATGAGAAGCAGGTATATCAAAGATGAATACTCATACTCGGATCAAAACAGGATGGTGGAGTATAGAGGATGTAAGCAGAGGTTTCTACACATAACTTTGCATGTTGACACGAATTAAGCGGAAATGCGGAAGAAATGACTAGAAACAAAATCTTCAATTACACCATTGCAGAAGTGAAGTATAAGCACATGAACATTAGAGATGAAGGGCTCCGAAAAACAACTAACATTAGAAGCTGCAGCTTCTCTCAAAAACTGTTTCCGGCAGAACTGAGGTTTTCGAATTCTCATAAAAATAATTATGGCCGACTGGCTAAGCCGTTTCCCAAATTCAGGCAACTCGCTGTGATAAGCGAGAAAATCACTCCGCACGTTTAGGTTACCCCCTTTCGAAGTCACTCCGCATTCTCAGGGGCGGAGGACTATTTATCGCCAGCAGGCTCCGCCGTCGCAGATTATTGATCCCCTTCAAAATTATAAATTGTAGGTATTGAAGGTAGTGGAGCACATTGATTGGATTGAAAAACTTCAAGGTAGGCTGGGACACTCACTGAGACCCCATACTAAGAAGAAGACCGCGATGAGGGGAGCTAATGGGGCAGATGGTTCTACCCCATTCTCAGATTTCTTTAGCGCCGCCTGTCTTTGCCTTCTCTCAAAAGCAGTGCTCTTCAGCGAGAAAACCACGCGATCGCTTCGCGACTAAAATTCGAAAATTTGAACTCTTGCCTCTTCCACTTACTCCAATACAAAAAAAAAGCTTGGGATCTCTGTTTTCTA